AGTATATATTCCCGCAGGGCGTAAGTTACAAGAGAGCAAATAGCCGAAACATAAAAGTAGCGCAGCGTTGTCACATACCGGCAACTGCCAATTTGTATATTTCATGCAGGAACATCACACAATAGCAAACCTTAAAAGGTGACAGACTACATAATTACAACGCAAAACATATCAAACAGCAAATGAGCACAACTTGCCAAAATAACGAAAACGTGCGGGCGAAGCACACTTGGGCAAAAGTGCCAGCGTGTAAAGCATTCCGGGGAAATATACAATGCAGCAAAAAAAGAGCAAAAAAGAGCGACTTGCTGGAAGACACTTTTCGATTTGCTACTTTCAACATTTGGTTACTAAAACCTATACCAGGAATTGCTAGGTTGTAAATGTGGTTGCTACTTTGTAACTGAGAAAGCAGCACATACAAATGAGCAAAAAAGTGAGACTGTCAGAAATTATAGCATTTGGCAAATCCGCAATATTAGCAAAAAGTTGCGATTGCCGGATTGTATTACACCGATCTATGCCATATCTTTTCGGTGTGCGCGCTATGTCACTCGAAGCGGAGACCTTATCGGAGTGAGCGGTATAACAGACACGCGCCCTCATTCCGAAAGGCTGGACAGTTGGACCAACTGAGTTGGTTGGGAGCTGTGTAACACAACTCGCCACTCACTTGAAGCGAGTCACTTTTTTTCTAATATTGTCGACTTACCAATTGCTAAAATTCCTGACAGTTTCACTTATTTGCTCCTGCGTATATGCCGCCTCCTACATTATAAAGTGCTAGTCATATTCACATTTCAGCAATGACTCGTATTCACTTTAGCAATCAAATATAGAGAGTAACAAGTTCGAAGTTGCTTTTCACCTAGTGCCACTATTCTGCTACCTTTTTTTGCTGCGTTGTATTTTGCTGGATTATTTCACATGATGGTTATTTTCTGATAACTTTCTTGATATTTTTCAAACTTCAAACTTCCGAGCTTTTATATTGTGTCTTCTGGATTGGAAGCCCCATGGCTCCAAGCAGGATAGAAAACTCAAGTCACTTGGACATGGGAAACTGAATTCCCTATCTTGAGAAGAAACTGGTTTTTTCAATGAAATTTGATGCGCAATTTTAATCTGAGCTCGGGAAAGTCACTTGTCCAAAACTTGAACTCGGAAAATGGAGGACATCAATGAATCATTCGGTTCCCGAGATGATGCATAAATGATTCGTAGTTCGAATCTCGCATAATGTAAATCCACAATTGATGCTCTCAGTCTGACTTTGATTTCTTGTCGGTGACTATTGAATCAAAAGTCACCGACAATAAACCGTCACCGACATTCTGAGAAGATGACACGAATGCAGCATTCAGGAAGCTGAGCATATTTCTCCGCTCATATCGTAATCTTGGGTTCGACTTAGTAGCAGCCCAGGATATATACTCACTCAAGTGTATTATATCGGTGCGAAGTTCGAGTTACGGCTGTCGACTATCAAATGTCCACTTAATTGAGAGTATATACCTTCACAAAGCTGGGTAAGTCCATTCACTCCTCGAGCTGATTGACCAATCCACTCACATCTTAGATAAAACACAACGAAATTCTAATGATTAGAGAACTCATCTAGATTGTACCACTTACCTAGATTGATTACACGACTACTAAGAAAAGAACATTCGACCAACATAGTTGATGCTAAGGAATACCTAAACTAGGCTAACAATAGTAGGGTTCACCCTCGCAGTCACTATCAGTGGGGGCAAAGCAAAGAGAACCATCATCCTTCTTGATGATACCGAAACAAACCGCCGGATTCTGCCAAGTCTTGCAATACGATCCCCACTTGGAATCGCGGCACTGAGACATATCATTGCAGACGTCCTGACAGGTGGGTGTGGGCTCGGGACAAGCCACCGGCTCCAACGTGTAGTCATCACAGGTGTCCTGTTCGGTCGGCTGGAAGCAGTAACCATCATCCTTATGGTAGAGACCGAAGCAGACACCGTTGCCCTTGCAGTAGGAGCCATACTTGGAGTCAGCACAGGGAGAATAACCATCACAAATATCCTGACAATACTCGGCGACGGCAACGGACAAAGCAGCGATGGTGAAAGCGACCTTCATGGTGAAGACAAAAATTAGAGTCAACTAACAAAGCAAACGATCGTTGCTCAGGCTGAACGAACATTAGCATAATTGGTATTAGTGTAGTCTAAAGCACGCTCTGTGGCTTCCGTTGAAACACCTGTGTCGAACTACCTCCTTGAGACACCACATGCAAGGCAACCTCCTCAAAGAGCTTCCTAGATCAGTCGGACTCCTCATAAGGGAACCGGCTAAGATAGGCCTACCAGGGCTAGGAAGCCACATGCAAGAAGTCGTGCTGATCACGGCACATAAGTACGATCCGCCGCGGCAGTTTCGATGATCAAAAATGCGACATCTCCGTCCGCCGAAACGGCTATATTATACAGCAGCGCGCGGCAGAAAATCTGCGCAATTTTTCTGTTGCGTGCGCGGTGTATCACTCGGAGAAAATTCTCTGTTGGGAAAGACGTTACTCGAGACTTGTACCATCACTTGGGACGACATCTGGTCATCGGCTGAACAGTTGATTGGAAATGAGAGCGCCACACTGAGGGTCCACAGTGTGGGAGGCGACCCAACACAGGGAACCGGAGCCCGATTCCTCTCAGGACCTTATCTTGGGTCCTGGGGTCATAGATCATGTTTGGTCACACTAACTGAGTCAACAAATAGGAGCCTATTTTCCTAACATGTGTCGCTCAACCAATTTGGAACAAAAACTTAAAAAAAGGAGATGACGAGACTGCTTCATGTGTGGAGCCACCTCATACAATACCAATTCGTACACTTGCTTGAGCTTAGTCTCTAACGAAACCTCAACTGAACGAAATGATACACCAACAGCTAGACATTAAAACCGTGCCCCATTCTCACCCTATTTGATTAACTACAATAACATATCAGCTTTGGTTAGACTACTTAGGTCAGTAACGCGACGTCGAGTGCCAATGGTAGAAAACACATCACCGGTGCCGAGCTGCTCAGGTCTAGAGGTGAGATGAACAAAGGTTAGACCTTGTGAACGATGTCAGATCCGAACAGCGACAGCAACTAATCGGCTATGACTGAAGAGCTGCTTACAGCCAATGATTATCAGTAAGGCTGAAAGCAGATTCAGACACACTCGAACGGGACGGGAAGGGTAATCAATTCAATGAAGGGCAACCAATCAGTTTATGATCCTGAACCTTCCAGTGAATGACTCACTCAGCCTCATTGTGTGTTGTGTGAGCCATATCCCGTTGCACAACATATGGTCACTTTGTGACTCGATCTTCGGGGAGGGTTCGAGACTTAGCTGGTTTTACCATCATAAGCATGCTAACTCGAAGACCATCCACTGCCGGAACTAAGCAAAGCCACAGAAGCATCAATGTAATTTGACTGCCTATTGATCTCGAATGAATCGGAGTCGTAGCTGAAAATATCGCAGTCTCCTCATACATCATCACTGAATCAGTGACACTGACAAACAAGAACTGATCAGATAAACTTGGAACGTTCTCCTCAAAATCATGAAGAAAGTCCGGCAGAAGAATCAGCCATGTGCGACCTTAGAAATGTCCTTCAACCTTTTCAGTGACGGGATCGATGCCAACCTGAAGCAGAAGAGTTACCAAATGGAGAGTAAGACTCATATACCGTAAACAGGAGCGTGTAAAGAGATCAGGCATGGTCGGACCTGACGACCGAGACCTGATCACAAGGGAGTTAACTTTTGGGAGTCTGTGACTGATTTACCCCAAACGCTTTGTCAATGTCCATGTGAGCCTAGATATGGCGGAGGCCTTTCTGAACCAGATAGAGGCTTTCAGTTGTGTACCTTATGGAAGTTATCGCACCGAATGTCACTCGGGTGACTCAGGAATCTCATCAACTCACGCATCGTCCAGCTTTTTCCCAGTTACCACTGCCCGGCCGCATCCGTGACTCCTTAAGGCACGAAAAGTGCTGAGGAGGACCTACATGGTGTAGGCTACACCACTTCCTCTAGGTCTCAGCGCGTCGAGCTACGGACGCTGGGACACATGTCGTAGCCCGTCTCGATTGCCAACAGAGACCTACAAAGTCATCAGGCCGGAGTCCACTACAGCAACACCTGATGTCCACAAACTTTTCCATTCCTACGTCCGACTCGAAGCGGTCTCAGTCAAAACCTAAACGCAGCCATTAACTTGAAGAAGGTTTATGCTGACTAGAACACCAAACGATCCGACGAGTTTCAGTGCGGCCTGATCGGCCACAGCGGAGGAGTTACCATAATGCAATCGCATCATACCTTGAGCTTGATGCTAAAAGGCTCTTTTAGTCGGCTTCTGTTTACCTGGTGTGGATCGCAGCCAGTGGCTGCCAGCCACGGGGAGCTGAATGTGAGGGTGTGGATTCGGGTTCTAGTCTTATCCTGACATCCTAACTCCAGCAACTTCGCCATGTTGTATCGTATTCGGATAATCGGAAAGTATGCACATGGTCACTCGCAGCATCGTGAATAGCAAGTCGCCATTCTTGGGTAACAGAGGTTTTGCCGCACTAAGATCAAAGCAGTCGATATGAATCGAGCTTCTGAGTGGCTTTTGACGCATACTGAGTGACATAAACCTGGTCTCATTTCTCTACACTCATATCGAAATCTTGAATCCGAATTAGCAGTGCAGGATGTATACATATTCAAGTGAGCCATATTGGTGATATCTGCTGTCACATGTTATATCTCTGTGCATTCGGCATTGTAACAAATACTTACCCTCAGCAGAATACACAACTTGTCATTTCCGTTCAGCATAATCTTTAGTAGTTGAGTACAGTCGCCCTAGACTAAGAATTTTCGAGCAATTGGGTGTATATTATCTCCTCCACTCGATTGATTAATCCGTTCACAGCTCGTATGAAACACAACAAAAAATTATTAGAGAACTCATCTAGATTGATTGCGCAACTACCCGAAAGAACATTCGACCAACATAGTCATGCTGAGGAATACCTAAACTAAGCTAACAATAGTAGGGTTCACCTTCGCAGTCACTATCAGTGGGGGCAAAGCAAAGAGAACCATCATCCTTCTTGATGATACCGAAACAAACCGCCGGATTCTGCCAAGTCTTGCAATACGATCCCCACTTGGAATCGCGGCACTGAGACATATCATTGCAGACGTCCTGACAGGTGGGTGTGGGCTCGGGACAAGCCACCGGCTCCAACGTGTAGTCATCACAGGTGCCCTGTTCGGTCGGCTGGAAGCAGTAACCATCATCCTTATGGTAGAGACCGAAGCAGACACCGTTGCCCTTGCAGTAGGAGCCATACTTGGAGTCAGCACAGGGAGAATAACCATCACAAATATCCTGACAATACTCGGCGACGGCAACGGACAGAGCAGCGATGGTGAAAGCGACCTTCATGGAGAAGACAAAAATTAGAGTCAACTAAAGAGAGAACTGAATGTCACTTGGACAAGAATAATGTTAGCAGAATATGTATAATTCAAGTGTCAGGAATGCTCTATCGCTTCAGCTGGAACACCTGGATTGAGGTACTTCCTTGGAGTACCTCCTTGTAAGCACCCTGTGCATGGAGCTTCCCGGATGAGTCGGACTCCCAGTAAGGACAACACACAAATATTGACCCGATAGCTAGGGAGCCATGCGCAAGAATCCATGTTGGACACGGCTCGGAGTCACATCCTACGGCAGCCGTTACAATGAACATTGGAGTGACTTTCGCTTGCCGAAACGGTTATATTGTACAGCAGCGCGCGGTGGAAGATCTATGCCATATCTCTTCGGTGTGCGCGCTATGTCACTCGAAGCGGAGACCTTATCGGAGTGAGCGGTATAACAGACACGCACCCTCATTCCGGAAGGCTGGACAGTTGGACCAAATGAGTTGGTTGGGAGCTGTGTAACACAATTCGCCACTCACTTGAAGCGAGTCACTTTTTTTCTAATATTGTCGGTTTACCAATTGCTAAAATTCCTGACAGTTTCACTTATTTGCTCCTGCGTATATGCCGCCTCCTACACTATAAAGTGCTAGTCATATTCACATTTCAGCAATGACTCGTATTCACTTTAGCAATCAAATATAGAGAGTAACCAGTTCGAAGTTGCTTTTCACCTAGTGCCACTATTCTGCGGTGTAATACAATCCGGCAATCGCAACTTTTTGCTAATATTGCGGATTTGCCAAATGCTATAATTTCTGACAGTCTCACTTTTTTGCTCTTTTGTATGTGCTGCTTTCTCAGTTACAAAGTAGCAACCACATTAACACCCTAGCAATTTCTGGTATAGGTTTCAGCAACCAAATGTTGAAAGTAGCAAATTCAAAAGTGTTTTCCAGCAAGTCGCTCTTTTTTGCTCTTTTTTTGCTGCATTGTATATTTCCCCGGAATGTTTTACACGCTGGCACTTTTGCCCAAGTGTGCTTCGCCCGCACGTTTTCGTCATTCTGGCAAGTTGTGCTCATTTGCTGTTTGATATGTTTTGCGTTGTAATTATATAGTCTGGCATTTTCCAAGGTTTGCCCTTGTGTGATGTTCCTGCATAAAATATACAAATTGGCAGTTGCCGGTATGTGATAACGCTGCGCTACTTCTATGTTTCGGCTATTTGCTCTCTTGTTACTTACGCCCTGCGGGAATATATACTAGCGTTTTGCTCACTCGCTCAAACTGCGTCTCTGTTAGCGTTATTAGCAAACTTGTCATTTTGCATTATTCGTACGAGCAATATACAATCGAGCAAACATAGTTATGGGATAGCGTTTCTCGTTCGATTACGATATTACGCCTTATATCTTATGCTCCAGAACATGTTCATGCCCTGTGCACGTACTAAGTATCTTATCTATCAAAGGTGTCACACTTTGTGTCTCACTGCAAGTGAGTCACTCAGTATCGGGTCAAAGCATGATAGCACTCTAGTGAGATATATCATTCACTCCGAAGACAGCACGAGTTATGATCAGTGCTGAATACCAAACACATGATTGCTCTTGCACGTCGCGATTGAATCAGATGAGATCACAGTTAAATTGAGTCCCTATCTTCGAGTATCCTCTCTCTTTTTGCATCGTATCAGTTGTGTCTCATGGTTTGGTACGATTGTACGTATTGACGACTCAACAATACCCAGAAGTTAAACCCTCGAGTAGGCATTACGTAAGCATTACGGGCAACTTTGACATTCTGCACGAGAAGAATTTGCTCATGGGCAGTGGCACTCATCGGAGCGTCTTCGTGGAAGTTCCACGGTGGAACTATTGTTATGGACTTTGCAGAGGTGTCGAAGGATTGTACAGGGGAAATGCAACACGGACTAAATTACTGATTATGAACTCTACAGCCCCCCGCACACAATATTCACTCCCGGGTACCACTAGAGGGCCTTCATAGAGATACTATTAAGGGTTACATGAGAAGCATATTGAAAAACGTCCAAATTTTTCTCTACCAATCACCGAGACAGCTACTTGTAGCAACTACAACAGCTGGGCACCACTGAGGTGCCTACCTTACTGCGAGTGCGTGCATGGTCGCTAGTCTCCAGTGATGGGAGAAACTACTTCGATTCCTCACGCTCGTCCTCTTTCGACCGCTTGTGCTGCAATTCTTTTGCCGCGTGGCTCTCATACTCCTCCACCAATAAAATAGCATTGTTGTGAGGCGAGTACTTTCGCACTATCTCCTTACATCTGGTACCTCGGAAGAACTTGTTCAGCACCGGGTAGATGCGAAGTGCTAGCTTAGCACTGCTAAGCCAGCCTGCCTCTTTCCTCGATAATTTCGATGCTCGCGAGGGGCATCTTTCTCCAGTGACCAGTATTTGCTCAGACTACCGAAGAGCATATCGGTTCGCATGCAATAGGCCACGTAGGGATCAGGGTGCGTGTATGAAAGCCACGACATCTCGCATGGGCACCACTGGGGTGCCTGCTATACAGCACTGCAGATGAGTGATCCATGTTGATCTAAATAAGTGATCTCGGATCACTCAGTACGAGTGATTCCGCCCACTTACAATAATCCATCCATCATTCTCCCTGTGCTGCAACTATCCTTATCTATATCGACAGAACCACAGAACTTTGCAAAAGAGTCACCACTCAGAGACTTCGAAACTATAATGCAATGCTCAAGTTGAGCAGCTCAACACAATCACCAACAACCCACCAAGGTTCGACTCTCGCGTGCAAATTTCAATTTCTTCTTCCGATTGTAGAACAGCGAAAATTTGCTCCATTATGGGGTTGCCCATTCGTAAAGCGGCAAATTTCTCCTCTGAAAAGTAGCAATTTGCAGCAAATTATTTGCTCAATAGTAGAAGGAGCAATTTATTGGTTTGCCCCTTCTTTGAGCAAAATTGCTCAATTTTGTTACATAGTAGCACTTCACATAGCGGCAACTTTTATATATTCTAGCAATTTTCTAAAATTCAAACTTCCGAGCTTCTATATTGTGTCTTCTGGATTGGAAGCCCCATGGCTCCAAGCAGGATAGAAAACTCGAGTCACTCGGACATGGGAAACTGAATTCCCTATCTTGAGAAGAAACTGGTTTTTTCAATGAAATTTGATGCGCAATTTTAATCTGAGCTCGGGAAAGTCACTTGTCCAAAACTTGCACTCGGAAAATGGAGGACATCAATGGATCATTCGGTTCCCGAGATGATGCATAAATGATTCGTAGTTCGAATCTCGCATAATGTAAATCCACAATTGATGCTCTCAGTCTGACTTTGATTTATTGTCGGTGACTATTGAATCAAAAGTCACCGACAATAAACCGTCACCGACATTCTGAGAAGATGACACGAATGCAGCATTCAGGAAGCTGAGCATATTTGTCCGCTCATATCGTAATCTTGGGTTCGACTTAGTAGCAGCCCAGCGGTGTAATACAATCCGGCAATCGCAACTTTTTGCTAATATTGCGGATTTGCCAAATGCTATAATTTCTGACAGTCTCACTTTTTTGCTCATTTGTATGTGCTGCTTTCTCAGTTACAAAGTAGCAACCACATTTACACCCTAGCAATTTCTGGTATAGGTTTCAGCAACCAAATGTTGAAAGTAGCAAATTCTAAAGTGTTTTCTAGCAAGTCGCTCTTTTTGCTCTTTTTTTGCTGCATTGTATATTTCCCCGGAATGTTTTACACGCTGGCACTTTTACCCAAGTGTGCTTCGCCCGCACGTTTTCGTTATTCTGGCAAGTTCTGCTCATTTGCTGTTTGATATGTTTTGCGTTGTAATTATATAGTCTGGCATTTTCCAAGGTTTGCCCTTGTGTGAAGTTCCCGCATGAAATATACAAATTGGCAGTTGCCGTTATGTGACAACGCTGCGCTACTTCTATGTTTTGGCTATTTGCTCTCTTGTAACCTACGCCCTGCGGGAATATATACTAGCGTTTTGCTCACTCGCTCAAACTGCGTCTCTGTTAGCGTTATTAGCAAACTTGTCATTTTGCATTATTCGTACGAGCAATATACGATCGAGCAAACATAGTTATGGGATAGCGTTTCTCGTTCGATTACGATACTACGCCTTATATCTTATGCTCCAGAACATGTTCATGCCCTGTGCACGTACTAAGTATCTTATCTATCAAAGGTGTCACACTTTGTGTCTCACTGCAAGTGAGTCACTCAGTATCGGGTCAAAGCATGATAGCACTCTAGTGAGATATATCATTCACTCCGAAGACAGCGCGAGTTATGATCAGTGCTGAATACCAAACACATGATTGCTCTTGCACGTCGCGATTGAATCGGATGGATTAACAGTTAAATTGAGTCCCATCTTCGAGTATCCTCTCTCTTTTTGCATCGTATCAGTTGTGTCTCATGGTTTGGTACGATTGTACGTATTGACGAGTCAACAATACCCACAAGTTAAACCCTCAAGTAGGCATTACATAAGTATTACGGGCAACTTTGACATTCTGCACGAGAAACATTTGCTCATGGGCAGTGGCACTCATCGGAGCGTCTTCGTGGAACTATTGTTATGGACTTTGCAGAGGTGTCGAAGGATTGTACAGGGGAAATGCAGCACGGACTAAATTACTGATTATGAACTCTACAGCCCCCCGCACACAATATTCACTCCCGGGCACCACTAGAGGGCCTTCATAGAGATACTATTAAGGGTTACATGAGAAGCATATTGAGAAACGTCCAATTTTTCTCTACCAATCACCGAGACAGCTACTTTTAGCAACTACAACAGCTGGGCACCACTGAGGTGCCTACCTTACTGCGAGTGCGTGCATGGTCGCTAGTCTCCAGTGATGGGAGAAACTACTTCGATTCCTCACGCTCGTCCTCTTTCGACCGCTTGTGCTGCAATTCTTTTGCCGCGTGGCTCTCATAGTCCTCCACCAATAAAATAGCATTGTTGTTAGGCGAGTACTTTCGCACTATCTCCTCACATCTGGTACCTTGGAAGAACTTGTTCAGCGCCGGGTAGATGCGAAGTGCTAACTTAGCACTGCTAAGCCAGCCTGCCTCTTTCCTCGATAATTTCGATGCTCGCGAGGGGCATCTTTCTCCAGTGACCAGTATTTGCTCAGACTACCGAAGAGCATATCGGTTCGCATGCAATAGGCCACGTAGGGATCAGGGTGCGTGTATGAAAGCCACGACATCTCGCATGGGCACCACTGGGGTGCCTGCTATACAGCACTGCAGATGAGTGATCCATGTTGATCTAAATAAGTGATCTCGGATCACTCAGTACGAGTGATTCCGCCCACTTACAATAATCCATCCATCATTCTCCCAGTGCTGCAACTATACTTATCTATATCGACAGAACCACAGAACTTTGCAAAAGAGTCACCACTCAGAGACTTCGAAACTATAATGCAATGCTCAACACAATCACCAACAACCCACCAAGGTTCGACTCTTGCGTGCAAATTTCAATTTCTTCTTCCGATTGTAGAACAGCAAAAATTTGCTCCATTGTGGGGTTGCCCATTCGTAAAGGGGCAAATTGCTCCTCTGAAAAGTAGCAATTTGCTCAATAGTAGAAGGAGCAATTTATTGGTTTGCCCCTTCTTTGAGCGAAATTGCTCAATTTTGTTACATAGTAGCACTTCACATAGCGGCAACTTTTATATATTCTAGCAATTTTCTGAAATATAAACAAGCAAACGATATTCATTCGAGCAGTTTCTGTTATAGAAAGCGGCAAATTTGCGTATTTGTAAAGTGAATTTTGCCACTTCGCTCTTCTGTATATCAGCCATAGCGTTTTTACACACTAGCACAACAGCAAAAGCCGCAGGAAATATACATTCCAGCTAATTGGCACTTTTTTGCTATTCGCTCCTTTGCTATTTTGTAACTGAGCCCAGCCCAGGATATGTACTCACTCAAGTGTATTATATCGGTGCGAAGTTCGAGTTACTGCTGTCGACTATCAAATGTCCACTTAATTGAGAGTAGATACCTTCACAAAGCTGGGTAAGTCCATTCACTCCTCGAGCTGATTGACCAATCCACTCACATCTTGGATAAAACACAACGAAATTCTAATGATTGGAGAACTCATCTAGATTCTACCACTTACCTAGATTGATTACACGACTACTAAGAAAAGAACATTCGACCAACATAGTGGAATACCTAAACTAGGCTAACAATAGTAGGGTTCACCTTCGCAGTCACTATCAGTGGGGGCAAAGCAAAGAGAACCATCATCCTTCTTGATGATACCGAAACAAACCGCCGGATTCTGCCAAGTCTTGCAATACGATCCCCACTTGGAATCGCGGCACTGAGACATATCATTACAGACGTCCTGACAGGTGGGTGTGGGTTCGGGACAAGCCACCGGCTCCAACGTGTAGTCATCACAGGTGTCTTGTTCGGTCGGCTGGAAGCAGTAACCATCATCCTTATGGTAGAGACCAAAGCAGACACCGTTGCCCTTGCAGTAGGAGCCATACTTGGAGTCAGCACAGGGAGAATAACCATCACAAATATCCTGACAATACTCGGCGACGGCAACGGACAAAGCAGCGATGGTGAAAGCGACCTTCATGGAAAAGAAGAAAATGCAAGTCAACTGGAGAAAGAATCAAGTATCGTGGTAAACAGTACTATATTGAATACTATATTAGCATTGAAGACTACAATTTAACTCGTCGAGGACATTCCACAGTATTTAGTGAATAACCCAAATTGAGGTACCTTCCTGAGACACCTAATGCTGAGAGACCAACACGAGAAGATTATTACATCACCCTTCCGAGGTTCACTTAGCTCGAAGAACGAGCGCTAGCGAGCCATACGCAAGGAGCCATATTCAACAAAACCCAATTGCACAGGATCGTTCTAATTTTTCAAGCCATTGCATGATTTTCAGCTCGGGGCCTGAACCGAATTAAATAAAGCGAATGAACGGGAGAATGAGAAGAACCAAGAAGAGCCTATGCGTCAGGCTCTTCTCGATCCCTAGTTTACGTTGACCAAGGCTAAACTTGTGATTCGAGCGTAGAACGCATCCGATCTAGCGTGTCGAAAACTGGATGCTCGGTGAACGGGAAGATGTATCGCCCAGTAGGCTTCGGGATCGAGATATTCGGTAACGCCTTCATCAATAGTCTTCGGTGATGTGTCCAGTAGCTGGTATTGATATTGCGGAATCGACCCGGAATACTCTCGCCCAATGCGGAAGTAGGAATGCTCCCGGCCGGTAGTCCTTCGTTCCGCAGTATGATGATCTCGGGAGGGGTTCATCGAAGAGGCATCATCCAATACCGATTGAGTCAAATTTGAATGGTTGACAACTGGTTCCATTCACGAAAGATGCATCGGGCCCACTCGGGGGTCTATCAGTGAAACCGTTTACCTAGGGGATGAAGGGCGTCCGTCGTTCATGGATTGAAATCCCGCATTAACGTTAGACGGGTGGCGAAGTGGCACAAGCCTCCATCTCGGCAGCCGAGACTCGGCTGACCTCAGAAACTCACAGTGACCTGCTCGCTGGTCCTGCACTTGAAATAACGAACCAAAACAGAACACCAGTTCCGCATTGCTCTCGAGTCGAGAGTCTCGACGCAGACCGCGAACTCGATATAAACTTATCCGCGACCGCGTTTTGATGTTGAGGTCAATCCTGGATAGTTTTATCGACGGTGAAACCGTGACGGCCAGGACCAAGACCTGTATGTTGGGTGTCCCGGCTAGCTTGCTAGCCACAGTGAGCAAAGTGTTTCATGATACGAATCCTATGGTGTCGGAGTTATCTAGCACCTTATGTTTCATTCATCGATGGTAGGAAGGCCGTTCTGCGACCTGAGTTCACCCTAGGCACCTCTCGTCTGTTAGTGTGCCTTAATGCTTACCTCCCAAATTGTGAGTCACAATCCCACCGAGCCCACGAACCGGAACCACAGGCGAGCGGGGGTCTATACCTAATGTCTGGGTTAAGACCCGCGCTGGGCTATCCGCATCGCGTCTAGGGTTGTGTTACTCCTGTGTGTAGCCAAACGCTGGAGTTAGTGAGTTCGTCACCGCACTCACCTCAGTGAGTGCGTCCCCGGCAAATGTCGCGCAAGAACCAGATCCGATCCGCTTGTGGAACCGGATCTGGACAACCCTATAATAGCGGAAAGAGCTCAACTACAGTAGCATGAGAACAATTCTCATGCCACTGTAGTTGAGCAATCAGAAGCTCGAGATAAATTCATTTTGTCAGTTCTTAACTGAATCGTTAACTTCGACACCTCTAGCGATGACCGTCAGTCATTTGCTGTAACGAGCATCTCGAGTTCGGCCATGATGATATCGACAACAGTATGCTTCCTCAGAAATAGCTCCACTCATGTTGGACATAAAGACTGAGGGGCCATTCGTCAGAGCCCGTGTCGTATTGAGGAATACCGCATCTGCGATTAATCACATGGATTCATCTCGGAACTGGGATGATGATGAGATTATCTATAGCCGAAAACAAAGTATCAACACTGTATGAGGAACCGACCAGACCACTAGATTGAGAAACGATAGGCGAACCTGAACTTAGGTAAATCGCTGACAAACTTCACAATCGGCTAGCCGTGATTCCAGCCGTCGATTCTTCCGAGCCAGGATGCTCATCTGTTTTAGATAAAACACAACGACCTCCCCACGGCACGAGCTAAGACCTGGCTTCGCGGCGTCGCTCTTTAATTGTCTGTGAAAAATGCTATATCATTCGACTTCTTTACCATGCGCATGCGTGCAATGTTTTCGGACACGAATATCGTAGAATCTACGATAGTCGTGTAGGACGGAACCCATCCTTTGCATCAACCGGCAGCTATCTAATATAGACGGGTCCGCGATCACCGCGGTCGGGAGGCGTACACTTACCTCAGCGATCATCGATAAAACTCAAGTGCTGATTCAAATTCGAATGAAATTCCATTAGAATGGCATACGCGTGTAACTCACGGCGTGTTCAACACAACTTACAGCACTTGCCTTGGACACAGACAAGGATGATGGACGAGCATGTCTCAGAGGAGATGATGAGCATCCCAACGAATGACTGAGTCTTCATCCACTACCGCTACAGTACCGTACCTTCTCCACATCGGCTATCACGCCGGGACCTCTTCTAATACACACAATATGATTGGCTACGACTGCCTTGACGTCGACAGTACTCTTCCCCACCCACTAAATTATGATGCTCTCGAGGGCTACCACGCCTTCCTGGTCCTGTCCAGCGATCCCCACCTCGGACGTGTGTGCTTCTACTGCGGACACCAGCTCACTAGGCGGAGACCCCAGCTAGTGGTGTAGAGTAGTTTCTATGATTGGTTGATAAGTGTTGATAGACCCAGATTGCTCGGTAGACTATGAGTCATGGTTTCGTCTTTCTTTCTCTCAACAAAGAAGGGCGAGTTCAGCTTATGGCCTCCGTTAACGTCGTATATCGATGGTGTACACGTGGCTATCGGAGCTCGACCGAAGCGAGCTTGCGATGAAGAATTCAGCATATCTATTTGTGATGTGCCGCTCTTATAACACAAGTATTGTCCCTTATCTGTGTGTCCCCATTATTGCTTAGCTCACACAATTAGCTATAGTCTCGTCGATAATAACAGTTTCTCTTACCTACCCCTTGATTATAGTCCTGTTGGGTTCTGAAGTATCACACTATTTTTCATGCGCCCCAGACATCTCCTCTTCGCAATCATCCCTCCCACAGTGCTAAGCCCGACCACGATTTGACATACATCGAGTCGTAAAAACCAATGAAATAACGGGAAAAACTAAACTCAAGTCACAATGCGGCCACACGATGGTAAATGAGCTGGCGCCCAAAAGGCAGTTAGCTTGAGCAGGAACAGATTCTACTCCGACGATACTGGACAGTAGTTCCAACGATGAATACCGTTATCATAAAATGAGCAACTGACCACACCCCCATCTCGCGACGCCGACGTGATACCATATGCCATACTCTCATGCCCAGTGTACCTAACACCAGTGTTCGCTTTCCTCACTAAAATCCGAAAAAATGTGAAGGCATGAATGAGAACCTCTCGGAATTTCCTCGAAATTTTCATATTGTCACCATCATATGTGGTTGCCCATATTCATATTTTCCCACACTGTCTAACACACCCTGGAGTTTCTAGTGAAAAACATGAAGGTTTCACGACCACTGCATAGCGCTAGCATCGCGTTTTTTACCGAGTTTTACGCCACTCCGCGTAAAACGGGTGAAACTCCACTTATACAACACTATAACTAACACCATTACTCTCCTATTCGTTCAGCCTCCCGACCATCCAAGAGCTCTTCCAGAGGCCACACTTCACATCCTCCATAGCAGCCAGCGATGAGCAAATCTTTTCCAGTGAGGGACGGCTTGAGTCTCCAAACGCCCCCGATCTGCGACACGATATATAGCCAATCTTACTGAGATTTATGCTCAGTGTGGGAGGGGGAAAATATGCTCGTGATCAACTACAGGTGTTGGTGACAATATGAAAGTTATGAGGAAATTTTGAGAAGTTGTCGTTGGTTTCTGTACATTTCTACACAAATTTATACGTAAACTTCTGTAACTACATGGTCACGGTGATTGACGGCGGGGCAATTTGGGTGCTTCAATGGTGCCCTATGACCAGAATCCTAGAGTGCTTCAAGAATATGCTAAGAATATGTGGAGGTCTCCAAGTGCGTCGAGTGCGTGAATCAGAGTAGCAGTAGAAT